AAAAAAAAAAAAAAAAAAGGTGTAACTGAGAATAAAGCAACAAGGTCCTTTCTCTCTCATCTCCCATTCACTTAGTTCCCTGCTGCTGTCCTCTAACAGAACTGTTGCTGGCTTCTTAGGTCTCCTTTCATAGGCTCCATGGAAACAGGGTTTTGGTTTTTTTGGAGACAGGGTCTTGCCATGTAGTTCAGGCTGGCCCTGAACTCACAGTGATCCTCTTGCCTCAGCCTCCTGAGTTCTGGGATTATAGGTGTGTGCCCCCGTGCCTGGCTGGAATTTTTATTTTTATAGCATTTATTTTACTACGCAAGTGACTGTATACCACCCATACTGCTCATATGTAAGCTGGAGATCTTCCCAGGTCACTGCATAGAGTCTACATCTCTTTCCATGGCTACGGCACGTTTGGATGTGTGGATGGAGCGTCACCAAATTTGCAGTTTTGATAAATGAGGCCAGTGTTAATCAAGCCCACCCAGCTCTGGCAGATTAGATCTGGGGAAGCCATTTTGATTGTTGGTCAGTTGTAAATGTGGAACCCACGTGGGACTCAGTGGTGCGGTGCCATCTGCCAGGCCCTTCTTCCAAGAGCAGTGAGGCCAGTCATTCTTGCAGTGCTTCGTACAGGTCAGGGCTCCTCAGGATCCAATGGGAACAGGTGGCAAACTATACACAGATAGCTGAAATTCTTTGTTGTTTTCTTTCTTGTTTTTGCAGTTCTAGAGACTGGAAACAGGGCCCTGTGCATGCTAGGCAAGTGCTGTACCACTGAGCTACATACCCAGGCTACAAGTCTTTTCCTTCTCCTCCTCCTCCTTCTCCTTCTCTTCCTCCTCCTCCTCCTTCTCTTTTTTTTTTTTTTGAGACAGGTTCCCCCTATGTAGCCCCACTTGGCCTTGAACTTGTAGTAATCCTTCTGTGTCCGCCTCGCGAGTGCTGGGGTTATAGGGAACCTGTCTTTTCTGTGCAAGAGTGGATTATGTCCTCACTTCCTTTGCAGCGCGGAGCCCATTATGAACCCCAGGAACTTCTGTTGCTTTCTTGTACTGGAATTTTGTCACAGATGTAATCTGTTGTATAAAAGCATTGATGAGGGCCTGCAGACTTTTCGGCAGGGACTTTGTTCCGGTGCTGGGGGGTTTGAGCAGGATCTTTCTGACAGTTAGCGCTTCATCTTTACATTGGTTCCCTCATTCCTGTTTTGTTTAGACATCGGCTGTCCTTTTGTAGAGCTTTTGGCTATTCTCCCTGTCTCTCTGTATCTGTGTCTCTCCCTCATAGCATAGTGCTCATTAAAATGGTAATGGTCCTGGTATGGTGGCATTAATCCTATAATCGAAGGTACTCTAGAAGCTGAGGCAGGAGGATCCCAAATTTGAGCCCAACCAGGGCAATTTAGCAAGATTTTGCCTCAAAAATTTTAAAAAGGGCTGAGCACCAGGTATGGTGGCACACATCTGTAATCCCAGCACTCAGGAGGCTGAAGCAGGAGGATCATTGTGAGTTTGTGACCAGCCTGGTCTACAAAGTGAGCTCAAGGCCAGCCTGAACTGCATAGCAAGACCCTGTCTCATAAAGACAAAAAATAAATAAATAAATGAATAAATAAAAATAAAAAAGAAAAGAAAAAAATAAAAAGGACTGAGCATGTAGCTCAGTGGTAGAGCACCCCTGGGTTGAGTCTCCAGTATCATCTCTCTCTCTCCCTCTCTCTCTGTCTCTCTCTGTCTCTCTGTCTCTGTCTCTCTCTCTCTCTCACATGTAAGTGCACAGATGCTTGTGCAACACAATGGAATGGTAATGGTTAGGCCAAGAGAAGACAAACCAGAAATACCTGTCTTTGACTGAGGGGAAAAAGACTGTCCTGGCTGGGGTAGGAGAGGCAAGGGGAGCCGTGTGTGTGTGTGTGTGTGTGTGTGTGTGTGTGTGTGTG